GTTGTGGAGACCAGTCTAGCAGTGTGGAGGATCTGAGGATCGGGTAAGTACCTCTTCTATTCTATGTCCCCTAGACCTGTATTCCACTACAAGGGATAGTTTTTAGGTTTCCCAGAGTTAGGATTTAAGTTAAGCGTGCCCAGAGGTGGGCTTTAAAGTGAACCTGTTGCTTACCCTTCATGGGCAAAGCACAGTTTGACTTTAAAGCAGCATTAAAAAAATGGAGGTGGTGCAGTCAAGCAGCAAGTAAGCTGCAATGTAACCATACTTGTTGTACAAGTGTGCATCATGAAGGGGTTCAAGAGAACTATAGTTGGTGAGTGGGGAAAAAAAAACAGCAGGCGTTGAATTGGCAGTTAGAAAAGGCCTGTAAAAACAGCAATTTCAAGAAGGGATGAGCTGGAGAAGTCAGTGAAACAAGCGTGCAACACAAATTGAACTCAAAAACCCCAGTAGGATTCAGGACTCTTTGGTCTGCTCAGAAAAATTAACCTCAATCTCTGCCCAAAGTCCCTTGATTGATTATCATAGATATTTAAATACTGTAATCTCATTTTGGGCATGAGGGGAAAAAAGAGAACGTAAAAAAAAAAAAAAAGAAAAGGAAAAAAAAAAAAAAGATAGGAGCGAAATAAAGGACTGGAGACGGAATACATTAACTAACAAAGGGATAAGACGGCCTGGCAGCTTACAAAGTCTATTTCAGATCCTTCCACTTGGCTGGAAGAGTTGATGAAGTTTAAATGAAGCAGAATTATAGGCTCAGGCGGCCGAGCGTTGGCTGCTGGGAAGAGCGGCTAAGGAAGGACTCTTCCATTGCTGGCGCTTTCACTAGAAAGTAATGGAGAAAGCCTAAATGGTCTAATCTTCAATCACATCGAACATCGGGACTGACAAGAGAAGGGTAATGAGATAGACCGGATCAGCCATGTTGGTTAAGGAAATTAATCCCTCTTGTTGCACTGTGAGATCGGCTTTTGGGAGCCCCCCCCCCCCCATTCTATCCCAACCCAATCTAAATGCTAACTAACTGTGAGTAGAACTGTGCTTTTCATGTCTAGTGCTTGGAGATTATTTTATTAGTATATGTACAGATTTAAAGTTAAAATAGTTTTATATATATATATATATATATATATATATATATATATATATATACACACACAGTATATATATATATATATATATTAGTATATACACACAGTATATTATTAATAATAATAAAAATAAATTTTGTATATACAATTTTTTTAAATGCTAAAATGTGCTGCACGGCAAATAATGGCACCACTGTGTGCCTGCAAAAGTGCAATGCGTTTTCTACCCACCTGCACATATGGAGAGGCAGGTTGATAACGTCATGCTCTCCACCTCATCCAATCAAATTTACGTTAATGTATTAACGTAAAAAAAACCTTCTGCATGAAGCTCCCACCACCAGCCCCTCGCCCCCCAAACTTACCTGAAACCAATCCCGGTCCAGTGCACAAGAGCAGAGACTCTCTCTGCTCTCTGCCTCCTCATTGGCTCCCGCTGCTATCAATCGCAGCCAGTGAGGAGGGAGCTGGGGGCAGGGCAGAGCTCTGCTCTTAGTGTCTTATGGTGGGGTGGAGGAGCCAGGAACGCAGCAGGGGACCCAAGAAGGGAAGGATCGGGGCTGCTCTGTGCAAAACCATTGCACAGAGCAGGTAAGTATGACGTGTTATTTTTCAAAAATAAAATTTAACACTTTACAATCACTTTAATAAGGGCCATAGTTAGGCTAAACTAGAGATTATTTGGGATTAAATAGCAATCTTTAATAAAACAAAAAAATATAAAAATAAATAATTGTAGATCTCAGTTGAAGCTAATGACCGAACCTAAAACCGAGTAGGTTTATCATAATTAACCCTGGTTGTGCCGTGCTGGCAGATCTCATTATCATTTGTAAACTAGAGGTGCACACTGTCTGTTTAAGATATCGGACTGCCTCCTGGGGAATCAGGAAGGATTTTTTTCCTCTGCTGGACCAAATTGGATCATTCCTTATTGTTTTTTGCCTTCCTCTGGATCAACTGTGGGTATTGGATTATGTAGATGGAGATTTTCTACTTGGGTGTATATTTTTTTCTTTTGGTCTAACTAGAAGGACTTGTGTCTTTTTTTTCACCCAGACTAACTATGTAAGATCTCAAGGCTTAGGTAGTATGTTAATGTACTTAAAAAAAAAAAAAAAAAAAAAAAAAAAAAAACTTTCCCTAAATCTTGAATTGCACATTGTAAAATATTTTGAACAATACAAGATACCTATGGTGTCCTATAAACCTGCTCCAAAGAAACAACCAAAAAGGTAAGAATATTTAAAAAAAAAAAAAATTTTTTAGGTTTGATATGTGAATGGGAACCCATTAAAAAACATGTAGCGAGGGGTTTCTCAAACTGGACTGAAAAGTGGAAATATACTTTAAGTTGCTACTCTAACTCAGAGTCACCAGCAGTCACAATGAATAAATAACTCTTGTCTTAATGCTTTAGGAAATGATTTATGAATCAAAAATCTCAAATGAGCTCCTGCTGGGAGAGAGAAGCGCTGTAAATTTAGAGACTTGTTCAAAAAGCGGAGATCCCATTCTTATAATTATCACAAGGAATGGGCTGATAGTGTCTTTGTTAATTAAATGAATTATTGAGTGGCACAATTCTTGGACACGGAGTGAGCAATTACACAATGGTAGATATTTTTATAAAAAAAAGATCGATATTGTTCATAGCAGCCAGTCAGCTGACATCTCCTATGGGCAAGGCAGACGCCTTTCCTTTGGTCCAATGTTAAACATGAGAGGTATTGTTGGCTGAATGGAAATCATTTTAGAATGACTGAGGAATATAGAGCAGCATGGTGGCTAAATGATCAGAAATCTGGCATTCCAGCACTGGGGTCTTGGGCTAAAGGAAACATGTACTTAAAAGTATCGCAGCACTTGTTCCTGACGCTCTGTTGGGACTTGCGTGATCACCTGTGTCACCTGCTGGTGGCGCTGTGGTTCCCAGAGGCAAAGGGCACAGTTCCAGTGGGTGTCTCCTAGCAGCTGGGCTGTCCGAGTAATTAGACTGCACCTGATGTGGGTTGCTGGGAGGTATTTAAGCCCACGCATAACTGAGGTTCAGTGCTTCAGTATTCCTCCTGCAAGCTGTGTCCCTGCCTGAGCCTGAGCCTAAGCCTAAGCCTAAGCCTGAGCCTGAGCCATGCTCCTGTACCCACACCTTATCCTGAGAACTGTTCCGGCTCCCTGCATCCAGCTCTCCCAATACCTTGCTCCCTGCTTCTCTTGTCTCCTTTCTTAGGCTCCGTTCACACCTATACAGTTTGCTTTTTGTCCATTTTGCAGGGCTTTTCACAGTTTGTTTTGTGTTTTTTCAACCCTTTTTTTAGATTTTTTTAGATTTTTTTTTTTGGTGGAATTTTTTTTTGCTGGGCAGAATAAAAATGCAAAACCACAGCAAAAATACACTACCATGCATTTCAACAGTTCCTCCATTTAACTCTATTGTAGCAAAAACACTTTTTGCTTTTACAAAAGTCCCTGACCCTTTCCAAAACCATGTTAAATGGACTGTAGTGCGTTTCTGCAAGAAGCACTAAAAAACGTATCGGTGTGAACGGAGCCTCAGACCTGACCTTGCCCTGCTTCTGTGTGCTCCCTCCACATGTATATAGTTAGTTAGGTTATCGTTTGGTTTGCTGCACTTCACGTTCATTTTGTCACTTGCATTGCTTTTGGTTTACTGGTGTTGGAAATGTATCGTTTGTCTCAATAAACGTATTTTAATCTTATTCTGTTTGGTTCCTGATTCCTTAAGGTGCAGCCCACTGATCTGATCACCCTTGCTGGACGCCTGCATCCCTGACACCCTCCTGTAATTCTGTTCTCCTCCTGGCTGGGGGTATCAGCAATGGCAGCCTCTTAATATGCCATTCCAAAACCATGAGCATTGATATACAACTGAACAACACTTTGGGACTATAACAGGTTCCAAAGCACTAGAAAGCATGTCTGTGGGAATCTGGCCCATTTAGTAAAATGAGCATTTGTGAGGTCTAGGTCTGGAACGCAGTAGGCATTTTGAGTATATCCCAAAGATTTTCAATAGGGTTGAGGTCAAGGCTCTGTGAAGGCAACTCAGGTTCCTCCACACCAAGCTCATCAAACCATATAATTTTGGACCTGGCTTTTGGGCACAGTCCGTCGTCCTAAAACTGTCATCACAAGGTTGGAAGCACACAGTTGTTTAATATTTTTTTGTATGCTGTAACATGAACAAGAACCTTCATTGTAAACACCTGCACTCCATAATTACTATAGGATGGGGTGTCACATAATGTTTGTCATATTGTATATGAGATTATCAGGTGTCCACAAACATTTGATCATATAGTGTAATATCCAGTATATAATATATACACAGCGGGTAAAATAAGTATTGAACACGTCACCATTTTTCTCAGTAGAAGGTGTAGGACAACTATTCTTGTGTTGTTAGCATATGGTTTCCATTCACTGCCATTATGTTTGTAACCATATTTGACTAACATATACAGCGTGTAAAATAAGTAAGTATTGAACACGTCACCATTTTTCTGGGTAAATATATTTATAAAAGGTGCTATTGACATGAAATTTTCACCACATGTCGGCAACATCTCATGCAGTCCATACATACCAAAACAAATAAGTTCAGAAATTAAATTATGTGTAATAAAATTTGTAATTTGTTTTGGAGCCTTTGTATGTATGGATTGCATGGGTTGCTACAAACATGTAGTGAACATTTGATGTCAATAGCACCTTTAGATATATTTTTTACCTAGAAAAATGGTGACCTGTTCAACACTTACATTACACACTGTATATTTATGTATTATATGTACACTATATATTGCCAAAAGTATTGGGCCACCCCTCCAAATCATTGGATTTAGGTGTTTCCAATTACTTTCATGGCCACAGGTGTATAAAATCAAGCACCTAGGCATGCAGACTGCTTCTACAAACATTTGTGAAAGAATGGGTCGCTCTCAGGAGCTCAGTGAATTCAAGCGTGGTACTGTGATAGGTTGCCATCTGTGCAATAAGTCCATCCAGGAAATTTCCTTGCTACTAAATATTCCACTGTCAACTGTTAGTGGTATTATAACAAAGTGGAAGCAACTGGGAACAACAGCAACTCAGCCACGAAGTGGTAGGCCATGTAAAATGACAGATCGGGGTCAGCGCATGCTGAAGCACACAGTGCACAGAAGTCACAAACTATCTGCAGAGTCAATAGCTAAACACCGCCAAGCTTCGTGTGGCCTTCAGATTATCACAATAACATTGCGTAGAGAGCTTCATGAAATGGGTTTCCATGGCCAAGCAGCTGCATCCAAGCATTACATCACAAAGTGCAAAGCAAAGCATCAGATGCAGTGGCGTAGTGGTCTAGAGCAGTGGAGACGTGTTCTCTAGAGTGACGAAACATGCTTCCCTGCCTGGCAATCCAAAGGACGTGTTTGAGTTTGGCGGTTGCCAGCAGAACGGTACTTGCCTGACTGCATTGTGCAAAGTGTAAAGTTTGGTGGAGGGGGGATTATGGTGTGGGGATGTTTTTCAGGGGTTGGGCTTGGCCCCTTAGTTCCACTGAAGGGAACTCTTACGGCGTCGGCACACCAAAGACATTTTGGACAATTTTATGCTCCCAACTTTGTGGGAACAGTTTAGGGATGGCCCCTTCCTTTTCCAACATGACTGCGCACCAGTGCACAAAGCAAGGTCTATAAAGACATGGATGAGTGAGTTTTTTGGGTGGAGGAACTTAACTGGCCTGCACCTCAACCCGATAGAACACCTTTGGGATGAATTAGAGGGGAGACTGTGAGGCAGGCCTTCTCGTCTGACATCAGTGCCTGACCTCACAAATGCGCTTCTAGAAGAATGGTCAAACATTCCCATAGACACTCCTAAACCTTGTGGAAGCCTTCCCAGAAGAGTTGAAGCTGTTATAGCTGCAAAGGGCGAGCCAACTCAATATTGAACCCTAAGGACTAAAACTGGGATGCCATTAAAGTTCATGTGCGTGTAAAGGCAGGCCGACCAATACTTTGGGCAATTTAGTGTATATTACACATAATTTATATTTTTTTGTATTTTTATTTTATAGTCCCTCAGTACAGATTTCTTTTAGAATTTCCCTTTAGACCATTTCTGTATGGGATGTGTACGCTTTGCTGTTTTTATTTGGGATTACTCTAGATTTCTAACACAACTGAAATAAAAACACCAATGCATAACTGCCATCTGACCAAACTGCTATGACTGTTGATTTATTTGTGGGTTATACCTGTGGCAGGGACATAAAAAGAAGCCAAAAATGACAAAATAAAATAAAAAAATCCCATCTAAATATAGCACAGTCAACGTTTCCTGCAATATGCACCTTCAATTTAGAGAATCCCTCTTTTTATGACAGTAGATGTCCGCAGTCTGAAGGGCAGCATCATTCAACCTACTTCCTTTGAACCCTGGTTGTGCTGGACCCACCCCAAAAAGTGAAAGGTGAAGCTGAACAGTGAGAAGATAAGCTCATCTGCGACTCTGCTTTCTACTCCTATCAGTATGCTTCTTGTCAGCACTGACTGGCTCCTGGTACTGCTTCTTCCTCTCACATCTCAGCCCTGCTGTACAGGGACTGAGAGTCTACCACCAGGACAAATTCAGGTACTTACACTGCTTGCATTTAAAAATAAATTGAAGGATGTATTAAAGTGTTACTAAACCCACAACAGTAAAATCAGTCTGTATATGCAGTAAAGCATGCTTGTTATACTCACTGTGGAACCTAAGGGGTTAATTCTCTGCATTGTGTGAAAAGGCCATTTGATTCTATCTTCTCAGCCCCCTCCTCTTGTTCAGATGTCCACCTGTAAAGACAGACTGAACCCGCAGCCACATGCACATGCTCAGTTTGGTGTGCATTGCTAGAGAGGTTGTTTTCTTTTCTTGGAGACTGCCTGTGATTAGCACAGGACCAATCAGCACTGTCCAGACAGATGGTCAGGGGTTCTGTATCCTCCTAGAGTAGAAAGAAAACTCCTCCTACAAGCTTTAACCAGTGCTCTGCTGAAGTCACAAGACTGCTCTAACTGCTGATGAGGAAAGGTTTATATTTACTAAAATAATTGCACTTCCATGTTGTATGTACTGTGGGAGACCAGATATAGTGAATGCAGGGTCCTGGTTTTAGTATCACTTTAATGATTACAGAGCTGCATTAATTTATGTCCTTTATATAAGCCATAGAGTTCAGCTTTGATATTTAACAACAACTATGTAATGTGAGGGACTCCAGACAGAATCTGTTCAATTTATAGCCAATTAAGCATGTCTTCGCTTTGTAAGTTTGTTACTTGATGTAGAGTGGGGATGAAATTAAGCATTTTCAGATCTTAGTCTGAATCCTTCTGAATGATCCCACCAGGAAGCGGTCACTGTACAGAACCAATGGTAAGTGGCCAAGGAATTCCCTGCCATGCAGCAACACGTATACAAGGGGCATGTGTATGTGTGTCTACGGGGTGGGGAATGCCTCTGTACAGTGACAGCTTTCTGGCAGGACAGCTTGGACCGGCTCGGACTAGAATCTGAACTTGCTTGAGTTCATTTTTGATCTAGAGGAGATTGTACAATCAGATTGTACGGCCAGCTTTAGGATCAGGAGATCTACACTGGTGCAAGGGGTTCCAAAAATACCTGCATCCCTATACCTGTCGGTGCAATAGAAATACATATAACTTGTTAATAAGGATCTATCATGGAGCGTAAGAAGCATCACATAAAAGTTGCCATTCTTCTTGAATACTAGTGCCGTCTACAATCCATAGTGTGTGGCCCACTTTACTCCTAATTCAGCGTTTAGCAATGCAAGTGGGTTCTGAGCATTCTTTACAGGATGCTTGTCTGTCCATTTATTTGAAAATGCTTGCAAAAAAAAAAAAGGAACCAAACTGCATTTAAAACACATGAAAAAGTGTATGTGTTTTTAAGGACAGAATTGATTATAGGGCCTTCATGCCATTCACCAGTAACGCATCCAAAGACACCTAAAATACACAATGAGAAAAAAAAGCAGAGCAGCTTATGAGAAAAAAAAGCTTAAAAAGGTAGATCCACCCAAAAGTGATATTTACATTATATATAGGTGGTGGTGGTTGTTTTATATATTGGTAGTGCTCCAATAGTGATCTCCCAGCCATAATTTCCTTTTACCTCTCTGTTAAGGATGAGCACATGGTTTAGTTGGACTGAATCTGGAGGGAAGTTGTCACTCCTGTCCACTGCCACCTGAACATCTACATGGCCATATTGGGTCAATAATGTCATCCCTGCCCCTTTGTGTACAAGGTAGCCGTGGGGAGGGGAATGCCCCAGCCCCAGTTGATTGGGTGGCAGTGGGTGGTATTGATGACTTTCTTTCAAGCTTGGAGCAAACTTGTGCTTATCCCTACTACCTTATCCACCTGGATAATTTGTGCTGTCCCCATCCATCCTTGTGTGTTGCAGCTCCTCCTGTCACATTCTTAATAGTAAAAAAAAAAAAAAAAAAAAAAGTGGGAGCCCCTCATAATGGTCAGAGAAGTGGTGGTTTAATTCACACTAGTGGGTGTGTGTTATGCTACAGGCAGAACAGTTAGCGCTTCCGCCTGGCAGTACTAGGGTCGTTGGTTCAAATCCCAACCACGGCACCACCTGCCTGGAGTTTGCATGTTCTCCCTGTGCCTGTGTGGGTTTCCTTTTGGTACTCCGGTTTCCTCCCACACTCCAAAGACATGCTGGTAGGTGAATTGGCTCCTGTCTAAATTGGCCCTAGTATGTGTATGTATGAATGTGAATTAGGTACCATAGATTGTACACCCCTTGAGGGTTATGGACTCATGTGAATGTACGATATATATGTGAAGTGCTGCGTAAATTGACGGCGCTATACAAGTACCTGTTATAAATAAATAATAAATGTATAATACACATCTACTGGTGTGCATCATATAGGGTGGCTCAATGCGTTATTACAATGCAAGCACTGTATGCTTTTAATGATGCTTCATTCAATTCAATGCACCAATATGCGTTGCGATCATTACAGTGTGTGCCTTGTAAGAATGCAACCTGTCCTACTTTATTCCAGGGCACACCAACACAGTGCAAATGTGGGAACTGAAATAATTAAATAGAAGACAAATTGCTTTGTCTTTGTGTTGGGAGTGCGTTGGGCAATGCTGTTCAACAGAGCTGCCAAGGACAAAACCCTACAGTAAGTTCAAAAGCACATCTATCAAGATTCAGGATTTCCCCCCACTTTCCCAGGTTCTCACTAAGGGGTTGATTTACTAAAACTGCAAAAGATCTGGTGCAGCTCTGCATAGAAAACAATCAGCTTTCAGGTCATATTGTCAAAGCTTAATTGAACAAGCTGAAGTTAGAACCTGATTGGCTACCATGCATAGCTGCACCAGATTCTGAGTGCTCCAGTTTTAGTAAATCAACCCCAAAGTGACATCTAAAGAACCTAGGGGGTGAAATGGCCATTTTTTGAACCCTAGCAATTTGGGATGCAGACTGCGGTCCACTTTAAATCCACTTTATAAGTCTGAAGCGTCCACCTAAATTTGAGTATCAGTGCCGGGTGAGACGACACCAAAAATGGATGATAAAACTTGTATTTTAGATATGCAGAATCTGACATAGGGTGATCGAGCACACAGAACAAAATCAACTGAATGAAAGCATTTTTTGGAGGCGTTTCCATGACTACAGATAATTCCTTACATTTTTTTTTTAGCTCCCACCTACAGTTTGGTTGCTACGGACAATATAGGAATATTTAGACAGTTTACTGCACTGCAGACCTGATAGGAAAGGATGACGTAGATCTGACAGATAACGGTCATGATGCAGTTACATTCTACCTGCAGGGGTTAATTCTAACAAATAAAGCCTTTAATACAGTTTGTCTAGACTTGAATGGTTCATATAAAATAGTGAGAAGGTGAGTACATGGGACATGACTATGAGACAGCAAAAACTGGTGTTATGTTGCCATCAAGAGGCCATGTTGTATAATGGCGACTAAAGTGCGGAAAAAAGGGGGGGGGGATTTACTAAAACTGGAGAGAGCAAAACCTGGTTCCTCTGTGCATGGTCACCAATCAGCTTCTAACTTCAGCTTGTTCAATTAAGCTTTGACAAATAAAAATCTGGAAATTGATTGCTTTCTATGCAGAGCTGCACCAGATATTGCACGCTCCAGTTTCAGTAAACAGCCCCAAAGAATTGACAGGAGCTAGAGTTATATGGCAAAAGGGACATGCAAAGTCTATATTTAAAAAAAAAATAGACTATTTCCTTTATGTTCCTTGTCTATAGAACTTGCTCTGGGCGTGATGACGTCAGGAACAGTCCTCTATTCAAGACAACAGGAGCGCGGGGGTGGTGGACCAGTCTTTTGCTGGAAGGATCAGGTAAGTATATCTCTGCTCTCCTCTCCTCTAGAAAAAAAAAACAAGCAGGTAACCCATGTAGTG